ACAGAGCCTCCAGCAGGGGCTGTTGGGGCCTGTCTGGGGAGATGGGACGTGTCAGGCAGCCCCAGACACGACCACATTCCTCCCAACATGCCTGCCGGGGTCTGTGGAGCTAAGGGGCTGGCGGGAAGGCGGGGTGCAGCCTGCGGGGTGCCTTTGGAGTTGTCTGGGAGACGTGGGAAAGCTGAGGTCCCCTTGTGCAAGCCCTTAGGGCAGAACGAAATGTCCCCTAACCATCAGGGCCTCAGAAGCCAGGGACCCTCGAGTCCACTCCCAGGTACCTGCACTCCCTCCCTCCTTCCCCCACAAAATAAACCCTTGGGCCAGCTCCACAAGGGGTTTTAATAGGGCCTGAGCCAGCCCCTCCCACCAGGGCTGCCCTGGGGCCTGAGAACACCACCCCGGGAGCCCAGACTGGGCTACAGCAGTGCTCACCAGTTTTGTGCCCTTTCACATGCACTGCTGCGTTGGATTCTGGGAGCTGACCCCGCAGTAGGCAGGGTGGATGGTGTTTGCTTCCATTTTACAGATGAGCAAACTGAGGCCCAAAGAAGTGTCAGATCCTGGGTCACACAGGAGCAAATGGCAGGACCAGGACTCATCGGCTGCATGCTCTTTCCTGATGTGTCTGGCTGTGCCTGTGACGCCCCTGCCTTTGGCCAGACTGAGCAGCTAGCACCTTGGACTCCCTGCTACCCACCTTACCCCGCCCCCGGGCCTGTGGCGGGTCTCATGGTCTTTGCTCAGGGCTGGGGATGCTCAGGGCCGGGGAGAGCTGCCTGGATTTTCCTTTAGAGGGGCGTCAGGGTGGAAGCCTGAACCACCTGACGGGTTGGGCATGGTTCAGGGATGTGACAGTCTCCTGGGCACAGGCCTGAGGTCAGACCCGGGAGGGCCCCAGACTTCCTCGTCTCTTTCTACAGATGGCAATGCTGAGGGGCGCCTCTGGGTTTGATATGACCTGCTGTGCTGGTGTCCCACGAGGCGGGTGCCACCTTGAGTTGTGGGCTTCCTCTAAGAGGAGTGTCTGAGTCTCGCATAGTTAGCGGGGAACGAACAGGTCGCCAGGTTTATGGTGCAGAGGCCCTGCTCCCGCCACCGGACTGAGCCCAGCATGCGGGCTCCCGAGAGCCCTGGCTCCCAGGGCCCGATGGGAAAGTGTAGCCTGCAGGCCCACACCTTCTCGTGTGAATCATGCCTGGCGGGACAAGAAACCCAAAGCATCCCAAACAATGAGATTCCAGTAAAATATGACAGACATGACAAGGCAGAGGAGAGGAGGGAGCTGGCTGGGAGTTGCCTGGCCTGTGGGTGATGAAAGCCAAGGGGGATGGAAAATGCCAGGCCCGCCCCCTACTCAGGACTATAAAGCACCTGCTTCCTTCTCCCACGGACCTGAGCACCTCTCTCTCTTCTCTTTGCCGACTCACTCGCTCACTCACTCACCTCCCTCCTCGGCACCATGACCACCTGCAGCCGCCAGTTCAACTCCGCCAGCTCCATGAAGGGCTCCTGCGGCATTGGGGGTGGCTCCAGCCGCATGTCCTCCGTCCTGGGCGGAGGGTCCTGCCGGGCCTCCAATGCCTTCGGGGGCATGTCCTCCTCCCGCTACTCCATTGGGGGAGGGATGGGAGGTGGCTTCAGCAGAAGCAGCAGCTATGGTGGAGCCCAGGGTTGTGGCTTCGGAGGACAGGATGGTAGCCTTGGCTTCTTTGGTGGTCTCTTCGGTGGTGGTAGTGGTGGCTCTGGTTACTTCAGTGGTCCTAATGGTCCCTATGGTCTTGGCTTTGGTAGTAGCCTTGGCAGTGGGGATGGACTCCTGGTGGGTAGTGAGAAGGTGACCATGCAGAACCTCAACGACCGCCTGGCCTCCTACCTGGACAAGGTGCGCGCCCTAGAGGAGGCCAACGCCGACCTGGAGGTCAAGATCCGTGACTGGTACCAGAGGCAGCGGCCCAGCGAAGTCAAGGACTACAGCCCCTACTTCAAGACCATCGAGGACCTCAGGAACAAGGTGGGTGGGCCAGGCAGCTGGAGGTGCCATTCCAGCTCCCTGACTCTAGAGCAATAGATGCCTCAGGCCACGGGCACCTTTAGGTTCCTGGGATAGATGCCTGACTCTGGCCCGGATGCCCCACAGAGCGGGTCAGAGGGAACATGGTCTCCCTTCCTCTGCCTCGCTCGTGCCCTCCTGAAATTCAGGTCCTCAGACCATGCGAGACCATGAATTCTTACCCTTGTACATTACCGAGGAAGAAGCTGTAGCTTTGAGGGGTGCCGTGGCCTGCCGAAGGGCACATCGCAAGTTAAAGGCAGAGCGGAAGCTAGAAGGCCTGTGCTCCACCTGCCAGCACAGGAGACAGCTACCTGTTCTCTAGCACAGGGGAGGAGCAGGGCTGTAACGGGACCGGATTAGACACCCAAACTGCTCATTAGCTCATTAGTCTGGGCTGTGGCGGCTGCCGCCCATGAGCCCTGGCACCAGCCGGCCCCACCCCACAGCCAGGAGAGCACAAAAACCCACAGAGGCCATAAGTGGCAGCTGCCTTCACGTGCCCTTTGCAGGAAGGAGCCTGGGGGGCTTTTGGCATCTG